TTTGTCTTTGAGAAGATGAAACCAGGATGCTCCTTGGAGGCAAGGATTCTGAAGCTTCATCTGACATACTCTGGATATGTTTCAAGGCAGGACCCATCCTTGGAGAGGGATGTCATGCTTGGGAGAGTGAAGGGACAGTGCAGGAGAGGAAGACCCTTGATGAGATGGATTGATTCAGTCACTAGGGTAATAGGGATAGGTGTGTTGGAGACAGTAAGATTGGCAAGGGAAGGTCACTATGATTCACAGGCAACTCGACATCCCATAACAACAAAGAGAAGCATAAAATCACAATTGTATTATGTTTCCAATTTCTATCTGGTTATCACAAGGCATCCAAGAGTTTAAAGTACTTTGCTCCCTTATGGACCTTGGTAAATGTCTCCTTATGCATAAATTAATTCTCAAAAGGTATAGGATGGTTACCGTTGGAGAAATGAAAAGGCAGAAAAAAAGGGCATATTTGCACATGTCTGATTTCAGGATAGAGAACAGACATAACTGTATAAGCAGAAAAAAAGTCTTCCATGTTGGAGACCACACTAAGTAGAGTCTCCAGAAGCCCCCTTGAGAAAAAGTGAGCTGAGAAAACCTCTGATTTCAAACATGTTTTAATCAATCTCACTGTAATCAAGACATCATTGGTTACAACATAATCAGGATATGTGTTTACCTCTAGCACTATGATCACAGTTTTATTGCTAAAAAAACTTCACAGACACCATTTTCATTCCTCCAAGTTATGTTTACTAGTCCCTTTTGCGTCTGCCTAAAGATTTCAATGGTGAAACAGAGGTCACACAGTAGAGAAAATGCAATTAGTGGTGGTGGTGGTGCTGGTGGTTATATGCCGTCAAGTCACCTATGACTCATAGCAACCCTAAGTACAATAGATCTGAACTCTGCTCTATCCTGAGCTGGTCTTGGACACACCTACCCACTTTATACCAGTTACTGTGTCAGTCCACCTCATCCGGGGTCTTCCTCCATTGTGCTCTCCCTCCACCCTTCTAAGCATGATGTACTTCTCCAAGAACTAGTGGAGCTTCAAAATCCTAGCTTCCAAGGAGCAGCATTGGTTTCACTCTCCCCAGGTCAGAACTGTTAGTTTTCTATATATAGTTTTCTGTTAGTGCAGTTCTCTTCTCCAGCACCACAACTCAATTATTCTTCTGTTACCTGTTCATTGTCCAGCTCTCTGATGTGTAGTCTTAATCATAATTTAGCTTCAAAGAATGCTTTTATACTTTTAATTGTATACCTTTAAGGTAGAAACACATTCCCTGAAACTAAAATACAAAATAAAGAAATGGTCCATTTTAACTACTTCAGGTAGTATCATACCGAATGTCTAATGCATTTTGTTGTTTAACCATTTCACTATTCCATGTCTTAAGACACTCCATTGCTTTCTTAAGGCAGAATTGTTTAGATAAAGAGTTTCTACACTATGATCCCTCACTTTGTGCCAATATAACCCAACAACCTCAGAAACAATTGGTAAGTTTGTACCTTAAAAATTACTTAATTTGACAAATAAGCTGAAGAACCACAGCATATCTTATATTTAACTATTGTAAACTGTTTTATGGATTATCTTTTCAGCTTTCACAACGAACTAATACATTTCAGGATTTTGAACACATCAGTGTTAATTTTGGTTTTTCAAAAGTAACCTAACCAACTTCCATTATGTTTTGGTATTAAGAGATACAACTTTCAATAAAGTTATTGGGAAAAAAATTACTTAAGAACCGATTGGAAATAAACTACTAAGCCAAAATATATAGAGTCCATGATATATTAGTAGTCTTAGATCTCTAAACTCCTTTCTTTCAAGACATTATGAGATGAACAACTAAGCAGCTATTTTTTTTCTTTCATACACTCATTTCCATGATTAGCCTTGAAAATAGCTCTATTTTAAACTGTGTAATAGAAGGATTATGAAAATCATTTAACTTCCCCTTCATCTCTGCCTCTTTTTCTCAAAGTCTCTTTGTTTTTAGGGCTTAGTTTTTGTCAGTGTGGCAATTATTAGGAATGATGCTAAAATGTTATTGAATATGGAAATAGTTTTCAATAAGAATTATACTTTAATCAAATGTTACATCTTATATGTGTATTTAAAAAGAATAAATGCCCCCTTTTGACCAAATGCATGAAAGTCTCTTTAGTGTCTGATGTCATTTAATTTTTTTCCCTAACTCTGAGAGCAGTGATATTCTTTCTACTTTTACAAATGAGGGGATATATTATTGATAATTACTATTAAGCCTATTTAACCTAAACATAAAATGTATTAACATTGAGACTACTCCAATTCTGTTTTTTTGAGTTTTTTTTATTTTAAATTGATTGTAATGAAAATTTACAGACTTTGGATTTCTGTTCATTCGTTGTTGCACTTTTCTCCCTGCCCATTCCCTTCCCCCCCAAATTCTCCAATTCTCAGCAGTCCTATAACAGAGCAGATCTATCCCATGGGGTTTCCAAGGTTGTGAATCTTTACAGAAGCAGAATGCTACCTCCTCCATCCATGCAGTGGCCAGTGGGTCCAAGCCATTAAATCTTCAACTGATAGCTGAGTACCTTAACCACTCTGCTGCCAGTGTTTCCTTTATACCTCTTTAAACTCTCTCACTGCCATTAAGACAGTTCCGATTCATAGTGACCTTCCTCAGCTTTCTAAGGTTGGTGAATTCAAACTTCCACATTTTCAGCAGCCAAATATGTTTTACCACCAGAGCCTTTTCTACGCCTTTCCACAGCTAATAACACTCGGTTTTCCCCTTCAGAACAGTGTTGCTCTAAACTATATAGAGGTCAAGAAACTAGAATACATCCAACACCCTTGACCTTGACGTGTGTGTGTGCTGGCATACCCCACTAATTGGTAAGCACGGCTAGCTAATCCCCTACAATTGATCAGGAGGATTCAGGTTCTTTTTGAAAGGTGGTGGTGTTGTCGTCATGTGCCATCAAGTTATCTTTGACTGCTAGTGACCTGTGTACAATAGCTCTGAACTTTGCCCTACCTTCTGCTGATATCATTGTCTCAGATATACCCACCCCCATTTCCCCAGTTACTGAGTCAGTTCATGTTATCCAGGGTCTTTCTCTCTTGTATTGGCATATAAAGAGTTGTTGAATACTTACTCATCCCTGATCCAGTCTACCAATATGTATTTGAGCATCTACTCTCAGTAAGGCACAGGTTACTTATCTCTAAAAAAAGTTACATTGTAAAACTCTGGTGTCCTAGTGGCAATAAATTGCACTGCAATTCCAAAGGTGCTCAGTTCGAATCCACCAGATGCTCTGCTGGAGAAGGAGGGGCAATCTCCTCCTGTACCAGTCAGATCTGATTTGACAGTATACACACACAAAAATAATAAAATAAATTTTTAAAAAATTAAAAAGTTTGCATTGCTCTTGAGTCAAATTCTGACTTATATCAATTTTGTAGGACAGAGTAGAACCACCCCATAGAGCTTCCAAGGCTATAAATCTTTATAAAAGCAAATCACTATATCTCTTTCACTTGAAGGAGCTGATTGTTTTTAATTACTGATCTTTAATTAGCAGCTAAGGGCTTAACCAGAACTCTATTTCACATTTAAACTATGGCGGCCTGCTCTGTGGGGAGCTGTGCAGGGAACTCAAAGGTAGTATCTCTTCTCTGGCTATTTGAATTCACCAATGACTCCAGGGGAACAAGATCTCCAGTGCAATTTATAGTCATTGAAAGCCTGCTGGGGGCTTAGCATTCAGTAGGTTCCAACTCAACAGTGATGAGTTTGATAGGTTGCTTTGAACCTTTAAAGTAGCTCACAGATTTGTGAAGTGTTAAGAGTTGGACTCAGAATGTACTAGTCAAATGAGACCCCACAGAGTAAGTCAATGTCGAGGCAGACCTTAAAGGATGGGTTTGATTTGGAAAAGCAAGAGGCCTGGGAAATATATTCCAATTAGGGGAGAATGACTTGCACCAAAGGAGTAAAGTGAGAAAGCAACAGCTCCAAGTGTTTGAGAAGAGTTAAAACTGCAGAAATCCATAAAGAGGATTTGCAATAAAGAGAATTTGGGTTGGGATATAGTGAAATATAATGTCAGAGAAACAGAAGTAGGTTGTATATCAGCTGGGGCGATAACAATGCTGGAGAGGCTAAAGAGAATGGATTTTATTTTTAGCAATCCTCCAGGAAGAGGCAACTCTTATCATAATCTGGATGTAGTTGAAACCAAAAAAGTAATGACTGGTTTTGGTAAAACAAAAGAAATGGGTACATCTAAAAAAATAGCTTATGAAGGAATAAAAAATAGAAGAGAGTGATTTTCTATCATTTAAAACAGAAGAGGGAAATAGCTGTCATTAATGAAGTGACTATTTTGTTCAGGACCGTGGGCATGCTTTTAAGATATTTGGGCACAGTAATTTGTTGTTGTTACGTGCTGTCAAGTTGAATATTACTCAGCGCTATGAACAAAAGACCTGAACCCTGTTCAATAACTTTCGTTGTTTCTCTAAGTTCATAGAGTTTCCAGAGACATATTGTTTAAGAAGTGGATGCCACTCCTGCTTCTAAGCCTGTCTTAATCTGGTAGCTAGCCCCACCAAACACTGTCCACCATGGGTAACCATTCAGTATCACAGCAACCTAAGTTATGTTAGTAGAGCAAATTGACAGACCAATTCTGTACCAAATAGAGGAATGTTAGTCCCAAACAAAATTAACACCTAACTGTCGTTAAAATACCAAGGGCCCCACCAGGTTCAGTTGACTTTAAACAAGGAGCTTCCTGGCCACAGCTCATTGAAAATATTTTATATTCTCATCCCATGTAATTAAGTATTCAAAAGCTTACATTAAAAAGTTAATAAAACTGAATTCACCTTTGCTTTCCCAGAAATAATAAATCTCAAGAGGAGAAGAATTTGTGCTTTGATATAGTTTAATCCAGAAATAAGTCTCTTTTTATTCTTACCTGTTTGGCAGATGACTTGCATCTGGAGAGTCTCACAGATATTACAAGACTGGGATTTACACTTTTCTCATGTATAGCTAACCGAATTCGTTCTTCGTGTGAGGGGCCCAAATATGCATCAATAAAGCATGGTGCTTTAGATGTGACAAGAGGACAAAGGTAAGATAATAAATCAAAAGTTAACTCACCTCACCCTTCACGAGTAACCTAATCTTACTGCCTAACATTTCATCCAGGTAAATTTTAATATCTAGACCTAATTTAGCTATTTAAATAGCTAGACCTAATTTCTTGTATTTATGGAACTTCTTTAACTTTCTACAGATCAACAATTTTAAAACAAAAGCATTACAATAGTTTTATTGAAGTTTGTATTTCTTGTATTGCTTTTAACACTTAATATCATCCATTCTACAATCAAAAAGACAAATTAGGTGACCTTCAATGTCTCCCACTGCTGTGAAGTTGGATCCAACTCATAGAGTCCCTTCCTTGGATTGCCAAGGTTGTAAATCTTAATGAGAGGCTACTGCCAGTCTTACTCAGGGTAATGGATTCAAGCTGCCAACATGTTATGTATTATAATCCTAGCTCTTTACAATGTCTCTCAGTGTCAAAAATATATTATGCAGTATTTATCCTTTTGTGACTGAGATATTTCACTTAGCATAATGTCCTCAAATGGGGGGATTGTTGGAGAGGGATTGGGGAAAGGGTGGATAGATAATGAACACTGCATTAGAACGGATGAAAGGAAGAAAGGAATATATGATTATGCATTATATGTATGAGAATAATCTGGAACAAGGGGTACATTATGGGTTGGGCTAGAGGAGGGGGTGCGAAGGGGAAGAAAATGCACAACAATGAATACATTTTTAAAAACTCTTAATAAATGATACATGGTACATTTTTTGTTGTTGCTGTTGTTGTTGTTGTCTGGTTTCTTTGTCAGGTAAATTTGTATTATATTTCCATCCCATTAGAAGGGTAACAAGTCTCTGAGAACCCATCCATGTCCCCAGGCTGTACTTACTCTTGATAACCATTATGTGCTTACCTACATTTTTAAGTACACTGGCTTAAATCCCTCGGAATGTTCAGGATTGTCAGCTGAGTTTGTGGATACATCTACCCCAAAGAACTTTCCTTTCTGTATTGAGAGTGAGGAAGCAAGTTCTTTGAATCGCAAATCCTTCATTTGCATTTCCGGCTGGCCTCCCTGTGATCTGTGGCCTTGCCCTGATGGAGTGGGAGCCGTTTTTTTTCATTCTATTTCACTGAAGAGATGAACTGAATTAGAAATGTAGTAAACCTAAGAAGGCAGAAAAACTCTCTTACAGGCTCACATGTGCTTTTTAAAAACTGAGTTTCCTGTGTTGGGAGTAAGGTTTTTGTTTTGCTCTCTGTAGTCAATAACTACCTTCTCCTGCTAGGTGCCCAAGCCCCAGAGGGGGCTCTCACCCGAGAACAGATCCTTCAGCTTGCAGCAAGATGAGCACTGATCTAAGCATGGCAGTGAGTATCAGATTGGGTTTCAATTTCATTTTTAGTGTTACCAAATTCTGATGTTCCTCCTATGGGTATTTTTACTACCTTTAAGTGTTAAGAACTGTCGTCTTACAACAAGTATAGGTTAGATGCTTTGAGAAGTATCAACTATTACTGGCAAGAAATGAAAACTTATTTAGGTCAACTTAAAAGTCATTTGGTGGACTTTCTATTCCCTCAGTAGCATAAACTCTGATATCTGTATAACCAATTGGAGGTTTTGGTGAAATGTGTTTTAGATACAGACTGGTTTGGGATTTAAGTTTACTTATGCCTGTAAGAAGTCTTCAATCTCATTACACATACAAGAAGAAAGAAAATCTATAAGTGAACCTCTTTAGAAGAGACCACAAAGTAGATGAATGCCTGGAAAGGGTTCCCTGGCAAAGTAAAGTGCAAATAGTATTTCTCTGCCAAAGGAGAAAGTCACAGAAGGGCATTCTCCTGGCTGTTAATATGTGCAGCAGGCAATCAGCGTGGCCTCAGTCTGTGGCTTGAGTGTGAGTGAGTGCTGTAATCCTTTCAGCCAAATGGAGCTGGAGGTTCTGTTTAAGGATCTACCAATCCATCATTCTTCCTTTTCTTTTAAAAAATTCTTTATTGAGTTACACCAAAAGTTTACTAACTTCAATGATACCATTAACTTGATTTTCAATATATCTATAAATTTGTACAATCATTTATACAGTCAATTTAAAAATATTTTCATCATTCCAGAAAAAAACCCTATAGTCATTAGCCATAATTCCTTATCTTCTCTAAATTCCCCTCACTTAGGACCAGGAACCAGGAATCTGCTTTTTGACTACAGATTCACCTATTCTGAGCTGTCCATATAAAAAGCATCATATAGCATGTGATGTATTATGACCCAGTTTTTCCAGTTAGTATCATGTTTTCAGGGTTTGTCTATGTTGTGGCATTTATGAGAACTTCGTTTTCTTTATGACTGAGCAACAGTCTATGTAATAAGGGAGATCTGGGAATAAGGAGTTGTGCTGCGAACCCAAAGGCAGGTGGTTTGAATCCACCAGCTGCTTTGCAGGAGTAAGATGGACAATCTCCTACAAATGAAATTCCTTTGCATGGGAGAAAATTGATGACTTTGAAATTGTGGTATTAGAAAAGAGAATTGACTACACTGTGACTGCCAAAAGAGCAACTAACTCAGTAATATTTCAATATTAAGGGAGCTCTGGTAACCTAATGGTTTAGAAGTTGAGCTGCCAACACAAAGGCTGATGGTTCAAACCCACCAGCTGTTCTGTGGAAGAAAGCTGAGCAGGCAATCTCTTTTCATGTTATAGTCTCAGAAAACCTGTTAGAGGCTCTGCTATGTGCTGATTCCAACTCAACAATGAGTTGTATTAGTTAATATTTTCTGTGTGTATGAAGCATATTTTGTTTATTCATTCATCTGTTGATGGATATTTTAGATATGCTTACCTTTTGGCTCTGAGGAATAGAGCTAGATTAAACATAACTTTATTAATTTTTTATAATAACAGAAATTTACCCTTTCCATATTTATTACATATGTAATCCAGTGACATTAATAAATTTGATCAGAACTTTATTTTTTGTGGTCAAATGCTATTCCTTTTCATGCCTATACCACATTTTTTAACCATTTCTTCACTGACTGAGAGTTTGCACAATGTTTACTTTTTGGCTATTATGTATGAATAATTCTGCTGTATACACATATGTACAAGTTTTTGTTTGCACACAGTTTTTCTATTCTTTTAGGTATATACCTAGAAATAAAACTGTTGCATTAATGCTTATTTATGTATTATTGTGCTTACTTATATATTATTTAAGTTTAACATTTCAAGAGATTGTTGAATTGATTTCCAAAGTGGCTGAACAATTTTACATTCCTGTCAACAATGTGTGAGGTTTCAGTTTCTCTACAGATACTTGTCTGCCATGGAGACTATAGACACCATCTGAGTAGGTGTTAACTAACATTTTTTATTTTTATTTTCTTAATCACAAATCATATTAAGAATATTTTCATGTGTTACTGGCTATTCATATATCTTCTTTAGAGATAGGTATACTCAGATTCTTTGCACATTTTAAAAATGGCATTATTTACCTTTTTTACTACTAAATTGTAAAAGTGCGTATCATTTTTCTTTGTAAGTGGATATATCTGATATTTTTATTTTCTTTAGTTCATTAGTTAAGGGTTGAACAATAAAAAAGGAAATGAATCTATCTTGCTATTATTTAACACAATTTCAATAAAGGAAGTTGAACTTGGAAGTTTACAGGATGTTTGATTATTAGTAACATCCTCCTTTATCTGATACTAATTACACCAAAGAGGTGAAAGAATAAGCATCAGTTGTGCACAGGTACTATATGAGAGAGCATTTTCACACACCATTTCTTAATACTTTCCAGAATTTTGGAACAGAATTTTGAACAGTATTTAACTTCAGGGAAGTCAAGTAACTTGCCCCAAACCACTCAGTTAACACAGAACAAACCTGGGATTCCATTTTAGGTTTGTCTAACTCAAAAGTTTTGCCCTTTCCACAACCCCTCTTAGATCACTGAATTTAGCTATTTCAATCCTAATAATCACTCATTGTTACCTTAACACAACATTTGTTTTGGCTAAGAAATGGGCTGCTTTATGAATCTAATCCTCTCTTCTAATCCAGCCTCATCATAAAATGTGGTTTGAATTGTTTTGTCTAAGGTCTTGACATTCAGGAAGAAATAGGAACTCACAGTGTTTACAACAGAAACTCCTGTTGAATGTTCCTGGGGAGATAGTATTGTTTTCCTGAAGGTTTTTGTGCTTATTTCTGTGCCCTGTATTCTATACTGTTGCTGCTGTCATCAGGTGCTGTTGAGTCTAGTGTGACTCTTAGTGACCCTGTGAACAACAGACCTGAAGTCTGTCTTATGCTGTGCTTATCCATTGCTGCAGCCACTGTGTCAATTGATCTTGTTGAGGGTCTTCCTCTCTTTCACTGACCCCTCTACCTTTCTAACCATAGTATCCTTTTCCAAGAAATAGTTCCCATGAGCTAATCTCTGGATAGCTCTAGTGGCCTAGTGGTAAGACCCTGCATTGCAATCTCAAAGGCATGTGCTATGAATTCACCATCTACTCTGTAGAAGAAGGATGGGCAATCAACTTCTGTGGGATTAACTGCCTCTGAAAACCTGCTTGAAGGCCAATCAGTTTCAACTTGGTGGTATACGAGAACAGCAGACAATAGCCTTTCCTAGTAACATGTCCAAAGTATGAGAGACAAACCCATCCTTTCCTCCAAGATGCACTCTGGCTACACATTTTCTTGCTTGTTCTTTTGGTTAGTCCATGGGATAATCAGTGTCCTTTTCGAACAACACTGCTCAAAGGCATCATTATTCTTCTGTCATCTTTATTCGTCATCTAAGCTCTCATAAGCATAGCAAGTGATTGAAAAAAACATGACCTGAATTAAATGTACCTTAGTCACCAAACTGAAATCATTGCTCCTTATGTATTTTTGGACAGGTCCCTGACAGTGTAGCTGTACAAAATAATATGTTCCCTGATCTCCTGCTGTCTGGTACCAAAGATGTTGATTGTTGATCCAACTAAGATAAAATAAATGACAACTTTAATACTTTCTTCATCTATCATGATGTTGCCTATTGGCCCAGTGGTGAGAACTTTTATTTTCTTGATGCTGAGATGCAATCCATATTGAAGGTTGTGTCTTTGACTACAGCAAATGTTTCTTCTGCAGCAAATATTTCAAGCAACCTCCTCATTTTCAACAAACAAGGTTATGTCATCTCCTTAACACAGTTTGTTGAAGAGCAGTCCTCTGATCCTGATGCTGCATTCCTCTTCATAGAGTCCAGCTTCACTAATTATTTGCTCAACATACAGCCCAAACAGATATGGGAAAAGGATACAACCTTGACACACACTGTTTCTGATTTTAAATCATGCTTTATTTCCTTACTAAGTTCAGACCACTGCTTCTTGGTTTACATATCAATTTCTCATAATTATATAAGCACAATTA